ACTCCTTCTTGGGTGCATGTGGTCGATTTAAGAGTCTTGCTCGTGCACGAAGAAAGATTGCTTGAGCACAGTGTAGTTGAAGAATCTTTCCGGAATTTGCCATAGCGGTATCGCAAAGACTAAAAAACAGCCAAAAATCATATTTCTACGAAAACTTCTGATAGGCTACTCCAAGTGTATATGCCTCAGAATATATTTAAGTAGGTAGGAGACGCAAGCGAGCGCTCTTTGTAGAGACCCTAAGATACTTCCAGCAGTAAACATGGACCATTGATGCAGCATTTAACAATCAATCGAATAATATTGCTCTGAATACTCCGATCTGTATATAACTAGTTCCAGATAGTCTTTGGTACTTGGGCTGTTACCGTGCAGATTGAATTCTTAGTTTCTCGCTTAGTGTGAGACATGGCCAATGTACTCACTAAACAATCTCTACTTGATTTTTAAAATAAGATTTCTTTGTGGAAAGTCTTTTCAGAAAATCCTTTTATGTCTGCTAAACGCAGAACTCTAGAGGTACGGGATAAATGTTCTAGAAATTAAAGGCTACTCTTTAAACTTTTCTAGAAACATCTCAAATTGCCAGAACAAGAAGTCTGTTGGAGCTTTGGAAGAGAAAACATCTTTATCTGACATGTCAGTCAGATTTAATCTCTCTATAAAAGAAGTAAAACCGCTCTCGGTCAAAAAGCATTGATTCGTTCCTAACTGGTTCACCTCAGTCTTTGTAATTCGGCTTTGTATATCGATATCGGTAAGATGACTGCCATATACGGGCCTTGTATGATTTGATAGTTAACTTATAATTTTGACCAAACTGCTGATCACTTCAACTCTGGACAACCTTCGTTGAATGCAATTAAGTAATTTCTGATATTCTCCTGAGAAATCCATTCGAAATGCGCACCCGACCGTATAAAAATAACTCACGAGCCAAATTATCAAGTACTGAACCGAACTAGTTTGGTGTGAAAGGAAGTCGTACCTAGAAATTATTTTTCACTCAGAATAAATCCGAGTATAACTTACTGAGATGACCTTCTTCTGTTTCTTTCAATCTAATTCAATAAATTACAATTTTTCCTTTTGCCCAAGTATCCCATTCGGAACTAAAACAAGCTCTGCTAAAATTCACAGGAGAAAAGAGTGAGGATTTAAGTATCACCTGTCGAGATAGGCTTTCAGCCCCCGGCAGTTAACGGCCAAGGTAAATATTAGTTTTTTTGCAGAATATAATTAAAATAATTGAGTTTCCTTGGCACAAGCGCTTGGGCTGATTCTGTAGCCTTTGCAATAGCTGAAGGAAGATGTTATTTGCATGAGATCCCTCACAGTAGGTCGAATATGTAAGCTAAAGTCAAAAACTTATGCACGCCTATTTCTTAGTTTGAAGCAAGTATTCGAACTAATGTACCAATTTCCGACTTCATTTAGTTCCATTTTCATATCGATTCAGAATCATTAGTGGCCAGCTGCAATATCTTTGACGTCAAAGAAATGCTGGCTTTATCCTTCACAATTCACAACAATCGAGAAAGCAGTGTACATAACCTTTTTACAGTACTCAGGTTGAACTGTTTTTCGGATAAAATTAGCGAAGTACACGGTCCTGTATGTCTTTCACTGAAGTCCAACTAGCATGTGACCATGCCACTGTCGCCAGTGTCAAGCCCGCAAAGCGTCACATGAATTCGCTCCTCTACCTCCTTCTGGGACAGCCAATCACGGGTGCTGTAGACCACTATTGGCCAAGCAGTTGATTAGGCGGCCAGCGACACACTCTCGCATGACATTTTGTTCATTCACGCCCACAACACACTAGCAGACAGACGCGCGCGCGGGGTCCGGACCTGCCGAGCGTCGGGGCTTCAGACACAATAAACAGCTCCTACTCGTCTTATCTCTCTTCTTCCTGTACGTAACTGGGCGCGATAATTGTAGTGCTCTGAGCAGAGTCACGGCTTAGACCTTTAAACCACTTCTCAGCGTTACATTACACAAAACCCGTAGCAATAAAAGGAATTAGCACGTTAAAGGGAACTACCCACTCGGAGGAAACAGACATTATGAGAACAACTGTTCTGTAGCCTACCTGTAAGGATTGTACAAAGACCCCGCAGATGGACTGGTTGTTTGTTCTTTTAGGAAATAAGAGGCAAGCATGTTTTCTGCTTCTTCAAGTTGTTTTGTTGACATGTAGTCGAACGCGGTCTAAATAATTAAAAGCAAAAGCAAGTAGATTAATAACTTCTAAAAACAAATCAGTCACAGAACAAAGCCTTTTCAGTACTATGGCCATGGCAATGGACAATATGAAAGCCAATGTGTTGTCGATTTCAGTGTATTAAATTGGTCAGTACAAGGGTGATTTGCATGGCCACCTAAACATTAGACGGTGAAAAGGATCCATCCACAATGTATGTTGCTTTGCGCCAAGGTGGGTTAGGTTTAAGGTAGGGGCTGAAGTTAGCGTGGGGGTCAGGGTCAGGATCATGTTAAAAGTGAAGGTTTGAGTCCGTGTTAACGGTAGGGTATAGGTAAGGGCTAGATTTAATATTTACCTCACAGTTTACTTTTATATTAGACTTAACACCTGGGCATAGTTACCCTTCTCGCAATGTTATGGGGACGCGAGCGGCGATGCGCTCAGAGCCTACTGCTGAAAACGCACCCCAGTTGAGCCATGCCGGCAGACCGGCTGCGTGCATCCTGAGCACACATGA